ATTCGCTCGAAATGGAAAACGAAATGGAATCATGCTGTAGCGGTGGATAGTCGCGGCCGGGATTGATTGAATTTGATTCGCGAGAAAAATGACGGAATTAATTTCGCCCCGAAATCCGGCAGATCGGTGCACGGAATTAGACAGAAGCGCCGTGACGGGGGATCGGTAACGATTGCGTTTCGAAAAGGTAGATCCGCGTTACTGGAAATCGACGACAATGTCGGGAATGTTGTTCTCTGTTGTAGGAAACTCGACGCGAGATTTGTAACTGTATAATTTCGAAGATTCTATAGATAAATACCGCAATTACGACTACTCAGCTGCGGATTTTAAAATCACATAGAATCAAGCGACCGGAGTTCCGAAAAGTGTAAAATAACTTACGACCGCGTAATCGGTATTCACCTAAAGAATTTCAAATGCCTGCGTCACAGGCTTCGAACGGGTTAATATTTAAATTTTCAATTTGCAACGACTGAATCGCGATTCTCCGTGTATTCGGAGCAAAGTAGCAGACGCTGAATAAATTCCGGAATTCGAAAATATTGGGCAGAAAGTAGAGCGCGGATTCAACATGTTTGCTCTCTTAACAGAAACGTTTATCGAGTCCTGCGAGTTTTCTGATTCCTGTTTCCATCGATCAGCGTTCGAACAGGCGCGTCCTCGGATAATATTCTCGTTCGACGATGCTCCGTTTCCGAAGGAAGTGAAAAGTGCGGGGAAAGGAAGAACGAGCGGATCGTCGGTAGCGCGCGGCTAGGCGGCTGAATCCAATCCCGGATACAATAACAACGGGCCTCCAGTGTTCAAACGGAATCCAACCGGCTAACGATTTCTCCCGGAATTCCCGGCGGGGTCTCCAGCGAAACGTACACCCCCGAAAAGGGTTAACGAAGCCCCGGTAAACGGATGTTCCGCGCAATGGAACTCAGTGACGCCGCACGGGCCGATGGGCCGATTGACTTTAATTCGGCTGCACGCAAATGAATTGCTTTAGCGTCCAGCCAGTAATCGTCCCTGGAAATCCTGGCCGGCTGCTAGACGGAGGCCAGGCCGCAATCGAATGTCGAACGCTGCGCTTCGTGGCGAGGAAATGCTTCCCTGAGAACCGTTGCGAACGCGCGATGCGAATCCACGCTCGACGACTCGATTAGTACGTCCTTTGTCCGCCTTTCTTTTGACCCTTGGCAGTCCTACGTCGAGTCCTATTCTATACGATGTTCCTTGTTCTTTTATAACAATGATAAATCTTATCGTTTATCAAAATCTTATACTTTCAAGTTATTTTGCTTTATCTTATACGTTTCAAATAAAACCAAGATTGTACCAAACTGGCAATCTCCTGATACGAATATATTCGTGACTGGCAGTGAATAGGTTATGCCAGTTTTTCATTGGAAGTGTGAAACGTTTTCTGGTAGGGCATGGACGACGTTCTTCGAAACTAATTGGGAAATATACGTAAATTAACCCTTAGTAGTCCTATGTCGAGTCAGACTCGACATTCTATTTTATTGCAACCTCTACATTTTTCAACAATTTTTTCTATATTTATTTATAGTATCACAATTGTATCATTTAAGGGTAACATTTCAATGACTCCCAAATATTCTTGAATAAATAAATAAAGCGTCATATTAAGCTGTAATAAGTTTCCTTATTTTATTAATTGAGCAGTTGATATGTAATTTAGCTGCGTATGCTGAAGGTTTTCTATATTTCGAAGAACCTTCGTCCGCAAAGGGTTAATACTCGTTGCGTACTTCTAGCGCAACCTTCGGGTTGCAACTGTAACTTATTTTCTTTGTATGAGTTTGATTCTGAGATTTTTATTACTGCGCGTAACGAGAATTATGGGCCGTTTAGATTGTTTAGCGTATTTGAATACTATGTGTGTAATAAAATGCATGGTATTAAAAGTCTGAACTAGAATTGTGAAGTTATGAAATTATGAACCTTTGAACTTTCGAAAATTTGAAAATGTGAAGTGAAGCTTTGAAACTTATAAATGTTGAGGACTGTGCTGTGGATGTCAACTGTTTCCGAACCAGCGGCAGCTAGATTGAACAGCGCACTTTAAACGCGATAATTATATGATCAATAGAGTGTTCAACGAGCATAATTAGAGTGAAACTTCATTATACGTACCTGACGAGCACACTTGCTACTATGTAGATCAATCTTTCCCCGATAAGTGTAACAAGATCTATTGAGTAGAAATTGTTTCAGCGATCGACCGTTGCTATTGCGATTATATCGATAAGATCTCAAAGACAAACGGGCTTTGTGAGCGAGGGTTACTCGTAAGCTGAACAGTGGCCGGAGATCGTATCGGATGCAAACTAACGTGTTCTGTTTGTTCAGACCGCAGGTGATCCTCAGGCATTGCTTAGATGCCTGAGAGAAGTGCCACTGAACGCGCTGGTCTCGGTGCCCGTCAAGGGCCTGGAATTCGCCCCCGCGTTTGGCCCTAGTATAGACGGCGTTGTGATCGACCCCGGTGATCCAGAAGATCAGGACTTCACCCTACAAGTAGACACGATCAATACGCTGAACAACATCCTGCTACGGAAGGACATCGTAGCCAAACTCTCGAGGTATTTGCAGCAAACTTTCCGCCAATCCTGTGCACTCTGTTGCGCAACAAACCAACAAATCCTTTCTGCTCTTCTCATTCTACTTTTGTCTTTAACCTTCATCTCATTTAAAACAAAACAGAAGCAGATAGAAGCATTGGATTACTATATAAATTTCAACTGTTAAATTGAAGCATCCAATTTTCCTAGTTTCATTAAAAGATTAAAGAGAACACCCCATAACACCCCAGTGATACAAGAACGCAACAAATCAGACGTTCAATCTTCAAAGATTACAACATTCCGCTCACCTATCCCTCATATCGTTAAAAAAGGTGCTAAACCAATTCCGTTTATGAACGAGAAGGAAAATATTACTCGAATGTTCAACGAGAACTCGTTATATCGTTACCATACGCGTCGAGCGCGAATAATTGATATCCACCGGTGATTCCGCGTGCTCCCCGCGTCGTTACGAAGTAATATTGTCCTTTTTCATTAATACCGAACCCCGTGCTTCCAATACTTGCCATTATACGTTTACCTTGCCGAGTGTATTTCTTCCATCGTGCACGCTCACTACCTTCCACCGGTGGGAAGCACACGGAACGTCGCGCAGAAACGGGGATCGGTTAACGCGTGCTGGAAACTCATTACTGGACTTCGGTTAAGGGCGGAGGCCGGCGGCGAGAGGTTGCTTTCGTTCGACGCGGTGATAAATAGAACGTTTTCGCGAGCCCCCCTCCCCGTTCCCCGCGTCCTCCCGTGGATTCCTTCTATTCCTTCGTTCCGCCATCGGCGCGCGTCCTCCCCGCAGCCAGTCCTCCCTTCGACCCCTTTCAGCCCGAGCCTCTCACCTAGACGACACCCGTCGTAAACTTTTTCGAATACATTGTCCCGCTTCCCCCTTTCTCGGTCTCCTCTCGCCCATACCGTCCATTATCTTCGAGCTCTTTGTACCCACACCCCGGCCCCTTTATTTCTCACCCTTACATTCGAGCCGCGCGTCCTG